CATATGCATAAGCATTAGACATAAAACCACCATTGCAACCATAGTTGCCCAATAATTGAAAACAATCAATAAGGTTTTGCTCAGAAAGAGAATCGAATTTACCATGAATTTTAGCTTGTTGACCCTTAAGTACACCAGTTACTGAAAAAGCCCAACAAGCAGCATATTGACCTTCATCTTTGATAGGAGCTACATAACCTCTTTTGCGTCAATCTAAACATCTTATTGTTTATCAATATACTTGACAAAGTTCACACTCACCAAAAGCTGTCGGAAAAGTTTTATTATCTGCAATGGCAATACAATTTTGACGAGTAATCTCAGCTTTTCTGGCATGTTGATGTTATCAAAAAATCGTTTACTGAATTCTTCGAGTGTCTATTAAAATTTAGGATACAGCCAAAGTAACTCTATGAATTTCAATTTTTACTAAATATCCAAAAACGTTCATCCCCATATAATATGAATGTACTCCTATATCAGCTTCAAGATTATGTATAGAAATTTTGACACAATTTTCTTCCTAAATAGTGTGACTTATGTATTCATATTTAAATCACTCTCATAATGATATAAATCAAAACTTATCAAGAATATTTTTCTTTCATATGGACATATATTTCTTTTCATGAAATCATTTGAAGATAACTCATGATTCGTCAAGACTTTCAGATTTACAATGAATAGCTGTCACGAACAACAAAATAGAATGAACAAGAAAAGCTTTCATTTTGTGAAGAGATATTTGGTTTTGTTTTAATAAATAAATGGGCACCGTGTGTGCTTTTATAGTGATACTGATTCTTTATATAACGCACCATAACATCAGTACAAAAAAGTGAGATTCGTCATATGAATAGATATGCGTTATCATATACTGATATAAACGTTTGTAAAAATGATAATGCTGTTTCTTCAACAATGAGGCTCATTTAGACATCGCTGTTGCTAATCAAAGTACTGACAACATTGATATTATTTTAGTCTTTGGAAAAGTCATATGATTTTCAACTAGCTCTGCATTCACTTCGGTTTTACTCGCCACAAGTCATTTCTATTCAAACAATGAAATAGATGTTGCGATTATTACTGCTGATAATAGCGCTATTATTACATTTCAAGGATTATGAAATGGAAATTCATTAACTAGATATGCTATGAGCAAGGATGCTGTTGAGTATGTTACTGCATTTCTTCGATATTTCATAAAACAACTTAACAGTTCAACAATATACTCAGCCAATCGAAATCTCCTCCACGATCGATCGTAGGTGTGGATGTTGATGGTGCGGGAGTGTCGGCGCAAGGAAGAAGAAAACTACACTTCTACTCATATCCAGGGTTGCCAGATCGAAAACTCAAAAATCAGAATTTTTTTTTTCAAAATCAGAAAACCATCAGAATTTTTTTTTTGCAAAATCAGAAATTAATCAGAAAAGTCGGTTTTTGAAAAACCTAGTGGTTATTATGGTATCATGTTGGTACAAGATGCTCTATTGTATCGCTGTTCATTAATTCATACTTTATTTTCAAAGATATTTCGCTATAAAAAAGCATAATACAATGAATATACTGTTTAGCTAACAAGGAAAAACTAATGAAAACACGTAGTGTCGAACTCTTTCGCTAAACTCAAAAAAAATTCGTTCACAAAAAAAGTACAAAAATAAATCACATATATACGATATAAGTTATAAGATCATATGAAAGAAAAAACTGATGATTATGTAACATAGATTCGATATTATTGTTCATATTTTCCATTTTTTCGAATTTGCTTTAACAAATGTGTTTGAGTTAAAAGATATTTATAAAATTGTTCACACGAATAATTATGATAAGATTTAATTTCGCTAAAAAAGCTGTGATATGATTTAGGAAAGTTCAGAATTCAGGAGAAAAGCAGGGAAAATTATCAAAAACAGGAAAAATCAGATGAGAGTGCTAAAATCAGAAAAAATCAGACTGTCAGAAGGAAATCAGAAGGGCATCCAAATTTCAGACACTGTCCTGACTTTTCAGACAATCTGGCAACCCTGCTCATATCTCACATCTGCAGCCGCGTCCAAGTATCAATAGTAAGATTTACAAGGGCACAATTCGTGTCCTTAAGCGTAATGTATGGTAATCAATAAAGACAAGTCAAATTATATTGGAGTAGAGCAAAACGAGATGCTTAGTTGATGTGTCTCAAAGTACTAGAAGAATTATGCTGTGATTCTTCGTGTGATTACAAGTTTCCATGTATACTATGTGTGCATAATTGCTTGTTGCAACGTGTGTGGTCATAAACAATAGCAGAAAATCTCAGTGATAGATTAATGTCATAGTTAATTGTTTTTATCTACGATCAGCTAAGAAGTGCATTAGATTTGTTTCCGATGATAGAAGTAATAGCAAGTTGATTCTAAAACTTATTGATTTAATGCTGTAAGAGAGTCTTCGTAGGATGATAGTTTTACGATAAAACGCTTTTTTTAATATTTGAATCGAAATCATACAATGAAAACGGTTCTTTGATATGAAGTTGCCTATTAGCTGATATTAGATGAGATTGTAATCTATATATATTTATCCTTTCTGTGCTCTTTCGTCAGCAGGAACATTTCTCACGTGCTATTTCTGTCTATAGTATTTCTTCATTTAATGATTTCGCTTACTCATATATTTTTGTCGATATGGCGAAAATTTGGTCCACTTGTAATTTTTTCTTTCTCACCGTAGATGTATAAATCAAATTTACTCAGTCTTTTTGTGCTTCTTCTTACTATTGTTTTTACAAATAGTAGTCCACCTGCGAAGGATGTGTTCGAAGCATTACGTTCCGTTTGTACGGGTAAATTTCAAGGTGGTATTTGTCCATATGCTATTGCCTATGATATTGCCACACAGTTGGCTGGTAATTGGTATAATCGCGATGGAGCTAATGGTTTATGGTCAGATGGAAGTCCTAGTATATGGTGGCCTAGTGGAGTAGGCTTATGGGCATTGGCTGAGTTTTTTAATACAATGGAAGGAAGAGGTAGATCTATCAAAATATAACTATAGGTAAACGAAAAAATATATTCATTTTTAGCTACGAATAAATTATATCTTGCCACACGATGGGCTGCAATTGAAACAGCTAAAAATCAAAATAATTATGTTCATACTAAATTTACAGATGATCAAGCTTGGTGGGCAAATGGTGCCCTCCGTTTAGAACAATATATTCGATCAACTGGTGATGCCACTCAAGATCTCATTAAGGCTGCACAAGCTGTTATCGATGATAATGTTGTACATGAAACAGGAGAATGTGGTGGTGGGTAAGTATTCACTTGCAAAACTAGTGCACACCTTTTCTACAAAGTTCTATTTCAATTGATAGAGTCTATTGGTATTATGGAAATCCCCCTCCTTCTACCACTGATAAAGCTACAATATCAAATGTCCTAACTATTTATACAATGGCTACAATGTATTCCTTCACACGTGATCCAACATTACTTCAGGGTGGCGCACGTGGTGGAGCAATTGATATTTATAATTGGTTAGTTTCAACGGATTTGCTCAATCCTCAAACAGGCTATCAAAGAGATACAATGGATACTGCTAATGGACAATGCCAGTTGAGGGGTGGTGTAGATATCATAAATTCTCTAATAGACTTTCCACTTATTAATTAATTTTTAGTCTTTGACCTATGAATACGGTGTTCTAGTACAAGCACTCATGGCTTTAGCTGATGCAACAGGTAATCAACAATATATCACACATGCAATGACCTATATTCGCAATGCTCTCAATCAATTTACACGAAATAATATTGTTTATGAAGGATGTGATGATACAAACACATGTAGAGGAGATCAAATTGCATTTCGAGGTATTTTAGTCTAACTAGAAAACATTTTCTACTACTAAAAATCTAAAACAATATGATTTCAAAATCTAATTTCTCTTTATCGATGACTCTATCTTAGGAATTTTTTATCTTGGTCTTGCTCGTTTATATGAACGTACACGAGATAATGCAATAGCTCAAGTCATTGAAGCATCATACTTTGCTATGCTCTCTCGTGTTAGTTTACTTCGTTTTTTCTCGTATCTTAATTAACATAATCCCTACTATTTATTTATATAGAAAGTGGGCAGTCGATATCCACTCTCTCTAATCAATGACAATAATAATTTTAGTGGTAATGATCTAATTGTTGTTACTATTGGTGATCTCAATCTTGCTTCTGCAATGATTAAAGTATATAAGTATAAGTATGCTGCGCCAATTGTACCTAATATTGATGTAGCCATCAATGGATTGTTGCCATTCGATGTCACACATCAAGGATTAACTGGATGTGTATGTGATGGTAAGCTAGTTTTATCATTTAGATACATGAAGAATTACTATTTTCTTCTACACTTTTCTCAATTTTGTTGATGTTATACAGATGTCGGCTGTCCAACGGGACATTATATGCAATGCTTTTATGATTCGGGTCATAAAGATGGAACAGATGGTCAACATTGGAATGATAAAGTAAACAATTGCATTTTCTATTATAACTCTATTTTCTAGAATATTTATCTATAGGTATCAGCAATATTAATTGGACCTGGTCATCAAATGATGTTATTCAAACCGAAGGGTGCTGGTCATAGTGATTGGTTAAAAAATAGTCAATGGTATGTTGGTGATGAATTCAATGATAAAGTAGATTCTATTAATATCGATTATTAAGAAACTGTTACATAATACAAACAAATAAAGTTTTTACCGTAGAATATGTTTATATTTAGAAAAAGAGAGTCATTTTATTTAGTTATATTAAGAAATTTTTTATAATAGAAAGAATACTATATTTAGTTGTCTAAGATTAAACATTCAAATAAATTCTATTTTCTTGTTTTTTATTCTTGATATGTATCCGAAAAATTAGTTTTCTTAACACATATAACAACTGCACAATAGGAAATGAGTGTGAGTGGAATGGGGACATACGTAGTATTCATACACAACCACACTCACTCATATGTCCACATCTTTTATTGTATTGAATGAACATAAAGCTTAAAAAATTGGGTGAAAATCTGTGTTAAAATAAACAAACTTCAAACTATCGTCTTTGAGATAAAAGCAAACTGCTTAATCGAATTTTACATTTTAATCCAGCAGAGATTGCGCTAACAGCTTTTTCTTTTTAAGATTCATAATGCAAATTCTACATCAATGTGTTACAAATTTTGCTACAAAATGCTATGAATAGTTAACGAAGAGATTTCTACTATCAGTTTTGTTGAATATTTTTCTATTCTCTAAATCATAATCTATACAATTTAAAAAAAAATTTTCATTTCATTTGTTTTTCTTTTGATTGATCAATAAAAAAGAAGTAGTTCATTATATGAATTCGATCGAATGATAGCGTTGCTTCTAAATGTTTTTCATTATCATTGTCCATTTTATCAGCATCACTACTTAATTTTGATAGAAATCGATTAATATCAAGATATCTAACCTAAATTGATAAATTTCATTGAATATAAAAGATTAATCAGTTTTTTTAAATCTTACATTTTCAATTTTGATTTTATTCAAATAAGATTCTGTATCACTTTTAATTATTGTTGTCAATTCTGGTAAATCTTTATGAATGAAATCCATGCATCAATCGACTACAAAACTAAACCAAGTTATAAAACATTTCCTTTTCTTTTCGTTTTTCTCCGTCTAATAGAATTTTTCTTACTTTATCATGAACTGATTGAATAGCTGATGTGAACCAACAAGACATATTTCAGAATATCTACAAAAAAATAACAATTATATCTGAATAGATTAATTATCACAACAAGCACCTTCACGAATACACGCATTTATATTGAATAAACTAAGAGATGTACCAGCAATAAATATATACAAATTGAATGCTATTATCAATAGATTTAGTATTAGTTACTATTGAAATTGACCAAGATTATTTGGCCAAATTGTTTTTATTTCATATATAGAAAGAAATATAATTGACATTACTGTTGCTACTATAGCATCGACTTAATTTTAAAAAAGCGAAATTATTATTTACTTTTTTGCTTAGATAGAATAAAAAATCCAATATCTAGAGAACTAACTAGAACAAGATTTGAAATTAATGCAGCAATAGCAACTAAAATACAAATAGAACACTAGTCACTTTTCTTCTACGAAAGAAAATGTGCAAATAGGCATGCATCGAACTCAAACGTTCGAGTTCAATCATTTTCAATTGACTGAGGGCAAGCTCTACAACTTTAATCATATCTTCATCAAAAAATTTAAGCATATGGAAGAAGTGCGAATTCATTTATACCGTTCACGAGAAAAGTTCTTCAACTGATAAATCACTTTTGAGTCAAGACTATGTGTACTATGTAGATTCAAATGAGCTACGAATGGACAGATCACATCATTCATTTGAAAAGTATCGTAAATATGCAGTATCTCCGTAATAATGAGCTAACGAAACGAACTCTTTTCAAGATATTCATAAAACGATTCGGTCTACAGAATGCACAATCTTGACTCAAAAGCGATTTATTAGTTGAATTAGAGTGTTTCCTATTTTCAACTTACTGACTGAGAAACTTTCGGCAAGTTTTTTTTATTTATCGAGCTTGAGTTTCTCATATAGTTCTGCTTCACTTATAACGAAGCAGTGCTATTTCGATTCATCGGTGATGTAGGATCAAATATTTAGTTATTGCAACTATAATGTTTACTGGTAAGTTTGCTTTAGTACAAAAAACATTTGATGGTTGCAAAAGAATTTCATTACACTACCTGTATCGATTAATTAAATGGAACGAGAAGTAAACGTTTGAGTTTGCTACCCATGTAAAAAAAATCAGAGGAATAATCAGATTAAAATCGACTATAATCGATTGAGAGTGCAGAAAAAATTGATTATGATCGATGAATATTTAAGAATACTGATCAAAGGTTTTGCCATTTACTTTGAAGGAAAATTGATTAAAGTCGATATTTTTTTTCACTATATAATCAATTACAATCGAAAATAATAGAAATAATCGATGAAAAATATTGAAATAATTCTTGCGCTTTTCTTTTCATTCTACGATCATCAGAAAGACATAAAAGGCATTCTTAGGAATACTTCATATTCATTCAAATGGTCTGCTATCTAACTTAATTGAAAACAAATTAGAACGTTCGCAGTTCTATAACAAGAGACAACAAAATGATTTACTCATCGCTAATGATGTCTGCCAGCAGAAATAAGTTTTATGTAATTGCTGCAAATCAACAGAAATCATTGTAGAAGCTCAGAAACCAAGGACAGTTACAAGAAAAGCCACAAGGAATATTATAAGTTATCAAAAATCAAAGAAATTATTCAAAATAGCTAAACATCAATAGAAATTAAAGCATTTAACTTTAAATTTAGTACTATTGATTTTAAATTATTTCTAATGTTTTTCGATAGAGTTTTCGGTAATGCTCAATATTTGATCTTGTCTCCTAAATCTCTCGTGATAGCGATTACTTGGTTTTTCAAGGAAACCCTAGAAAAGAAAATGTAATCGAGTTTGATCAGGGTTATGGTTTTGAGTGAGAAAAGGTAGCAGCTAGTGAACTTTTACATTTTGTCTGTCCTATGCAATGAAAGTAACGAAAAAGGTGAATGCATGATATAATGCACATTTTGCCGAACATTCAAGTAACTCTTCATCATCGTCGATTAATCTGCTTGCACAATGGAAGAGTAAGCCAACAAAATGACGGTGATATTTGTATGAAACAAATAAATTATGTAACTAATCCTTCATGCTCGATTAATTCGCGCATGGACATGTATGCACAAAAGCCAAATTTATTTCATATTATATATGTAGGCAACATAGTGCTTTACTCTGACTCATCAAATAACGTCGATATATTATTATGTTATTTTAATAGTTTATATACAACATTCGTCATAAATTCAAAGAGTAAGTATATAACTTTTGAAAGTGCAGTCTCTTCAAAAAATCTTTCTGGTCTTCAAGTAGTACCAATAGTCTTCTATCGTGTTATTTTCGTATCTTTACGAGTGTTTTTCTCGAAACGTAAATTTTATAAAACTCTGTATGAAATTAATAGCAGAGATTAACTATTGTAACGTTACTCTCCTCATAAAGAGTTTTTGACATGAATTCTACCGTAGAAATGTAACCATTCGATTTGATTTGAATTTTATTATTCAAAGAGATTTGTCTTGCTAAAAAGAAAATTCAATGCTGTGAAATAATGCCTCTAGAGCAAATAGTTTTACTAGCACAATATTTACTAATTTTTGTATAGAAACAACTATGCTAATTAAGAATACTGTAAACATGTCAAGCCAATAACTTTCAGGCACCGATCGATCTCATTTATATTCATATGTTCTAGAATGTTTCAAATACATGTATCTTGAAGTATATGATAAACAATTTAGTGATTCAGACATACCACTATCATGTTAGAAGACAAATATAACCTGAGTATAGTTTAATAGAGAATTTCAATTGTTTTAGTTTTATAGATTTTATAAATATGATAACATGTTTTAAAAGTACATTAGTACTTATTTTGATATGGTACATATCATCAGTTGGATTTGCTTTATTTCTTCAAAAATATTTCAATTCAGTCAGTTCATACAACAAGAATAATCGAGATGTTTTTTCAATTATATGTATAGCAGCATTCATTCAAAATTTGTCCTGCTGCTTTGGAACGATTATAATATATGTAACAACAATTTTATCAAATCAAATAAACGATGATTCATCAACAAATCAACCATTTGTCACATATCTAACTAGCCTAAAAAGTTCGAAGAGAAATCAAATATTTTTTATTTTTGGTGGATCATCACATTGTATAGGAATAATGATTATGAATTTGATGTTGTCATTGTCAAATATACCCTGTGTTCATACAATACGTGCTCTAGAACCATTATTAGCAAGTATTCTAGTATATTTTATACCTATGCCGATTAAAGACGAACATAAAACTGAATCCTCAAAAATTCATAAGACAGAAAAATGGATTGGAACTTTTCTTATGTTATTTGGTACTATATTGGCTACATGGAAAAGTGGTCAATGTAATTTATTGAGTATAACAATTCTACTTGGAATATTGAATAGTTTTTCAATGATTATTCGAAATATTTGTATTCAACATTTGACTATTAAAAGTAAAGATATCTATATACAAATTATTTTATTTGGAATAAGTACATTATTATCATTGATATTACTTCTTATGAGTGATTTTTCTTATTTATTAATTCAAAAATATCGAATTCTATTATTACTAATTGGTTTATGTAGTTTTATCTATAATACAACATCAATAATAGTATGTAGTCAAGTATCATTAGTTACACATAGTTTAATAACAATGTTAAAACGACCAATATTAATTTTAGCATCAACTATTTATTTTCGTTCTTATATAAGTTTAATGATGATTATAGGTAATTTAATTATAGTTATTGGTATTCTATTTTACAAAACTAATTCAATATTTGTATTATTTATGGCACGTATGAAATTATATCTTATTATTATTATTATTATTGTAAGTACTATTATCATATATGATACAATCGTGATAGTTCCTTCATTATCTTATTCAAATCATAGAAATTCATTGCATATTAATAATATTAAAGTAACTAAAGATTTTCCATTATTCTATTATAAGCCCAGTAGTATGAATGATAATTTCGGCGATAAATTATCTCATATTCTTGTACAATCAATTCTTAACTATAATCTTACAGTTATCACAAATGTTAACGAAAAATCATTCTGTGAGAAGCCAAAATTATTAGCTATTGGAAGTATAATTCATATTGCATGTCTACATGATGTTATATGGGGTTCTGGTCTTATAAGTGCCTCATCTTTTATTTCTCATTGGAAATCGATATCAAATCTTACAATTGATATAAGAGCTGTACGTGGTCCACGAACAAGAAATATTCTTATGTCAAAGTATAATTTAACTGTACCAGAAATTTATGGTGATCCAGCATTGTTGTTACCTTATTATTTAACATCATTTAAGAAATCTACCAAACCAATAATTCGAAGACTTCTTATACTACATTATATAGATGTTTATAAAAAGTCTATCACCTCTGGAATAAATCAAATAGTAACAGTTCATGCATTTTTACCATGGAATGAATTGTTGAATTTAATTGTTCAAAGTGAATTAGTTATATCAACATCATTACATGGAATTATTTTATCAGAAGCTTTTGGAGTACCTGCTAGATTATTGAAATCACCTCTTCTTGATTTATTCAAATTTCATGATTATTATGAAGGTACGAATAGAACTCTTCGATATGCAACAACTATTGCTACAGCTATTGCAATGGGAGGAGAAAATCCACCTAAACTCAACTTGACAAAATTGATAAATGCTTTTCCATTTGACAAATTTCAAAACTGAATAAAATCAAAGTTTATTGATGATGAAAATGTAAAAGTTGAAAATAGATCGACCTATCTCTTAACTGTGAAAAGACAAGTTCAATCTGCTAGTCTCAATTTTTATTTTTCAGTAATCAATCATGTGGATACAAGTGTGTTTTAAAATTAATAATTTTTATTTGAAAATAAAACAACATCAAATAAAGCTCTCACAACATTTTGTAGTCTTTGCTGAGCGGCTCCTTGATGAGAATATGTCTGAAAATGTTTTTTCTTTTTTATAGAAAGAATATAATAATTGTTTATTGTTGTTGCGTCCTGATGTTGTGATTTAGAAGCTAATTATTTAAATTTTGAAAAATTAATCATGACATATCTGTGTCTATACTCTTAGTTTCATCGAATAATTCATTCCGTAATAAATAGAATTTTCTTCTACATTGTTTCATTGCATAGTAATGAATGTAATTTATTATGAGTTGATTGATCAATTTTTCTTTGTCTCGACTTTTTATGAATTTGTAGTTTGGCATCGTTTTCAATCAAGTCTTGTCGATTTATTCAACCCCTAGGCGAGACTCCCTATAAGAATACTGATGGAATTCCCGTCGTGAGTCCCTGGAGGAGTTTAGAGGGGATTCAGGGACTCCCTATGGATTCTCCAGGGATTTCGCGGGGACTCTCTAGGGATTCTCCAGGGATTTCGCGGGGACTCTCTAGGGATTCTCCAGGGAGTTGATGAGTATTATCAAGATCTCTCTAGGATCCACCATTGGAATGCTCTGGAAAATTCTAATTTATGAAAATTTTCGAGGGACTTCATAAAATTTGAGGACTTCTCGGGGAGTTTTGTGGGATTTCTGGGATATGCAATTCCACCGGGGGCTCACGACAGGGATTCTCCAGGGACTTCGCATTTTTTAGGGGACTCTCTGATGATATCGTTGGGGAGAATGGACTAGGGAATGGACACTTCTGGATTATCCAACAATCAATATAAAGATGACCATGAGAATAAGTTATAGTTTTTCTCAGGATAAAACTACTTAGCCATTGTAGAATAGTGCTAAAACGATAAATCGTCGTCCGTTTTGATCTGTTTGCACTTTTGTTGAACAATATTCGGCTCGAGAAAAAGTACCTCATATAATATTGATGAAGATATGTCGAAAATAGCCTGATGAAAATATTAATACATATGGTTCTTCAAATGCTTTTTTTTCTTAATAATAGACCGATGTGTGCGTATGATGACTTGCTTTAGAACAATAGATCAACTATTATGTACTTTTGAAGCTACCTAAGTTTTTATTTATTGTTTTCTTTCTTTTATTTACCGTTTGAACCAATGGAATCAAAGAATTCTCATCAAATTTGACGACAGAAAACCTATAATATTTATGCATAAACATACCAGTTGATTCAATTTTTTTCTCGATCATGTTCTCTACAAAATATTTGCCTGACATTTAACTTTTTTATGAAGACAATAGAGTATTATTTTGATATCTGATTTCGTGCAGCTTTTGAAGGATTGTCTAATGGTATACTTGGAGATTTGTTTTCACAAAAACACCTCACATTGATTTTCCATCTGCAATATCGTAGTATGAATATTTACGAGAGCTGCTACTTTTTACATAATGTCGTTTTGTATGTCGGAAACGAGAGTATTTTTGTAGGAAGAACAGAATAGTTTTGCTCTAAATATATTGAAAAATCTAGTCTTGCCACGAAAAGAAAGTCTTACAATTCGAGATGATAATTGAAATTGCTGATTTTTTATAGAAAAGTTCGTATGAAGTGAGGAATGTGTATTAATAAAAAAAAAGAAACACAGAAGTAGTGAAATACTTTTTTGGACTGACTCTATACTCAAATATACATATTTTTCCAATCAACAATCTATTGTGTTATGTTTATTTTCATAATTCGTAATTAAAAGATTTTTTCAAAAACTGGCAAAGTTTTTGAAGATTTTAATGCACTAGAAATGACATTGATGTCAGTCTTTTAAAACTTTTCAGTTCAAGAATCTAAAAACTAGGCATAATCTGATGTAGATATATTAATTAAAATTCCAATGTTGCGAGAGATTAAATGACAAAGAGAAGTCTTCAATTACATTGAGCACATCGCTTTTCCAAGGTGGATCTGCTATTATGAGAGTCCT